GATTTCCTTCATCTGTAGCTGTAATGGTGACATTATAAGCAGAAGTGGTTTCTCTGTCCAGCGGTCCATCTACAACTAAAGAATAATCATTTTTGTAGTTGGACTTGAGTTTAAACGGAACAGATCCAACTACCTTACAGCTGGTTACACCATTTTTCCCTCCATCTTTATCACTTACTGTAATCAAAGCAACGATAGTCCCCAGTTCAGCGTCTTCTTTTACCGGTGTCATTAGTGACGTCACTGATATCAGTGGGGGATTATCATTCATATCAACGATCTCAATCAGTAATTTAGCATGCGCACTACGAGGAGAGATGCCGTGATCTTTTACTTGTACTCTGACTTCATAAGCATGCGTCCCTTCATAATCCAATCCACCTTTCACTGTAATTTCTCCTGTTTCTGAATTGAGATCAAAAATATCTGATGGATCACTGCTGCCCCTTTTGATGAAAGAATACAGTAGTTTACTGTTCATGCCCTCGTCTAAATCTGTGGCATTTAACTTAACCACAAGGGTTCCGGGTGTAGAATTTTCTGTCACTCTCACTTTATAGAGAGATTTGCTAAACACCGGTGCATTATCATTGAAATCTATTATGTTTACTGTTATTTGAAGTGTGCCTGATTTGGCAGGTTTTACTCCATCTACAGCGGTCAGAATGAGATTAACTACCGACTGCTTTTCTCGATCCAAAGCTTTCTGCAGCACTAATTCAGCAGAAATTGCATGTTCATCACCGCTCTGTACATCAAGTGAAAAATGTTCATTTTGATTCAGCCTGTAGGCCTTCACCGAGTTACTGCCTAAATCTGCATCTTCCGCTATAGGCAGTAGGTATCGTTCTCCCGCTGAGACTGTTTCAGATATATTTAACGAAAATGACTTTTCAATGAATTCTGGTGAATTATCATTTATATCTAACACGGTCACTTCGATGCGATGCACATTCACTGGATTGCTTAAAACAGCCTGTATTCTTAGGGAACACTGCACCGTGCTCAGACAAAGCTCCTCTCTGTCAATTCTGTCGTTAACAAAGAGGCTTCCGGTTCTTAAATTAACGTCAAAATATTTCTTACTGTAACTCGAAATAATACGTAGATCCCTGGTTTCCAGCTCTTGT